CATGTCATGTAGTTGGAATCGTACAGCGCACTGTTGCAGGGATGCCTTCTTATTGTGAAACTGGCTGGCTAGGTATTCTCGAAACGTTCGTAGCCCTACGAACTTTTTAAGCCCATTCTTAACACATTGGATACGATCAAAGTTAAGAATTCTTAGGGCTACGAACGTTTCGAGAATAAGGGCTCTGGTTCTGTCGCTGTTATGTTATCTATTTTATCATATCATTTTAAATAGTGATGATGTTAGGTATTCGCGAATAATCTGCGTTTTCTGCTCCACTGGTGGCCTCCAACACAAACATGCAAAGGTAAAGTCAAGTGTTCACCTTAACAAAAACGTTGACATTATGATACAGGTGAAACTAGGAAACTGCATGAGACATCATTTAGGTTACTGATGCGTCAGATTTGGAAATATACTCCACATGTATACTGTAAAGGTTTTTAAAAGGTTTACTGGGCCTTGAATATGAATATTTACACAATATTTGTATGGCTGTCTTTGAAAACATGGACATGATCGATTGAGCCTCAAAAGTTGTGAAATAAGGTACATTTCAAAAGTGTAAATCACCTCTCCTGTCATGCGGTCAGGCTGATAGCTTGATATCACTCTTTATAAATATGAAACTGATGTGGCAGTTCAACCGATTTTTAGTTCTACAGGGAACACTACATATTTTTGTGTACCAAACGTGAACTATCGGGTCGTAAGTAAACCATACATAGTGACGGAGATGTTATATCAGAAACACACCAGTTTATAGCCTGTTGTCATACCTTAAACACTCCGTACGAATACGGGCAAAGTAAAAAGAATTATCCAAGGTTTCACTATTTCCACAAATCTGGAGTAGATGCACTTTGGTAAAAGCTATATAAAGTATTTCAACAAGAAATCTGTGGTCGCCGCATCTGTTTAAGGCATCCTATAAAGGATAAAACATATGTCAACAAGAAATCAATTGTAGGTGCTTCTGTTTAAGGCATCTATAAAGGATAAAAAGAGTGTCAACGAGAAATCTATTGCCAATGCTTCTGTTTAAGGCATCTATAAAGGATAAAACATATGTCAACAAGAAATTTATTGTAGGTGCTTCTGTTTAAGGCATCCTATAATATAAAGGATAATCAGTATTATAACAAATACAAATAGACAGTACTGGCATTTCACTGTGTTGCTGCACTATCTTTAGAGTGAGTGAGTGAATTTTAGAATTTTTAGTTATAAAAGTTTTGATAGTATAAAAGCCTGTCATCAAAGGACAACAAAATAACTAGATTATCAAAGAGTGTGTTTAAACTAGTGTGCAGCCATTCAATATATCGCTATATGTAACAGTACATGATAACAACAGGATATTGGTCTTTAAAAACCAAATCAGATCACCACACTAGGGACTATTGACAGTTCCTTTGCTACCTGCATGGGCCCCAGCAAAATTGACATATCCCTTCATGTGTATTATCATTAGAATATGACATTTTCTTTCTTCCTTTAATTTTCGTAACACGATTGAAATTATTGAAATGCAAAGGCTGAATACGAGTTCAATTACTGGGGGGAAAACATGCTAAAATAATAAACCGACTGACCTAAACTATCAAAATTCATAAATGGTGTCAGAAATACCTGCCAGGTAGCCCTGCCTTCAAGTGAATGATTGGTTTGATATCAGGCTGCATTGAACAGTCTGTCAGCTTGATGTGGGAGGAATGCCCGTTAATGTTTACTAATTGTTCAAACCCACGGGTACGGTTCTTGTATACCTTTGAAGGATATAGCTATGCAAGATTTAAGCCTCATAAAATGACACGCCATCAGTGCTTAATGATATATACTGGGTGTAATAGTGTATTATGCGCGCCTACTTAATCCTACTGGACAATGGTAAAATACTTTGCCTACGCTTCATTAGGTTAGATTAGGGAAGGCTTGCAAGTCCAGTGAAAGTACACTGGTTTATAACAGTGTTATTGGCCCCTCGGTACGGATCAATCGCGTTCACTTCATTATGACCATGTAAAAATGGAGGTTCTCTATAGTGGACATATGAAAGTTGGAGATATTACTGTTTCATGAAGACATGTCTACCAGTGATTGAGTATATAGGATATTACCGTTCATCACATAGGATGCTACTCTAAACTTCTTAGAGAATATGCTTGTGGATTATTTATCCGTCTTTGTGACCTTTGTTTTTTGAGGAATCTCTGCAACAGTGCATGGATTTATCAATGTCTTAACAGCATTCGTTTCTGGATATCAACTGTTTGAAATTGGCTTGGATGCAAAAAGATTGTCACCGGATCCCATTTACGCCATTCTTGGATAAGTATTGACTTTATGATGTGGAGTATATATTGTGTCCAAAAGTAGAAGCCCTCCATCATGACATTTCTTTGATTGGATGGAGACAGGTTTTAAGTTGTGGGTATTTTCTATCTGTACAACATGTTGATCGGAGACCTAGATCTCAAGACTCCTCACATATGGTTTATTACAAACTTGTCGTCAGAATTACCAATTTCTAGGAAGAAACCAAAACAACTTAAACCAATCAGAATAAGGAGGAAGAAGCGACGTGTGCATCTAAATGACAGGTTGGTACTGCAGTATTTTCAACAATTCTCTTTATCCTTGCCAACGTATGAATTAAGCGAGAACACGTATAATGATAGGTATCTGGGGCAACACATGCTGAAAGGGTTAGAAAGGTACATTACCCTTTGGTAGCGTGTCATTTGAAATCTCTCTCTCTCTCTCTCTCTCTCTCTCTCTCTCTCTCTCTCATCTCTGTATGTATGTATGTATGTATGTATGTATGTATGTATGTATGTATGTATGTATGTATGTATGTATGTATGTATGTATGTATGTACTGACAGTTTGGTTTTACGCCGCTTTTAGCAATATTCCCGATGTTAACAGCTCCACGTGATACTTATATAATAGATCAAATTATTAATTATCATATAGAGCTGTTACCATCTATGTTTACTGGCGAGGGTGTATAAACCAAGCACGTGGTGGCCCTCCAGAATACATTTGCATGCTCAGCGGGAATAGCTTAATACAGTAGGGTCATGCAGTATGTGCTACAGCAATATTTGCCATATTCATATCTTTTGTCATTGTCAATATCAGTACAAACACGCTGAATTACCGTTGTCAGGTAGTCAAAACAGTGTCAACTGCATTGTGCCATATGTCAATCTCCCTTGTTAGGATCGAAATCCGATTGCCCCACATGCACGGCTGGTTGACTATAATCGATATCAGAGATCATGCAGATAAAGCTGTCTACGCAAGAATACGACCAACTCGGATTATATTTCACCCTCTAGGGCATGGCATTTACATTTAATATCGTCTTAGTGTGTCTATAAGCCAGACCGGGGTTGCACACTGCTTTAATCGATGACAGTATATTTGATAATAACTTATAAAGCCAATATGGGAATGTAAAATGAATATGGAATTCTGCTACAGTATATTTGGCTTGCTGAAAATTGATTTCTTGCCAAATTAATTACTTACAATAGTAAGTAATAAACCCAATTAATAAACTCAAATTGTCAGGAACCTGCGATGGTGGATTGGAATTACACATTCTCTTAGAGTGCTAATAGTTGTGGGTGCTTGCACCTTGTCAGTACTCACAGAGGAACACGTTATAGGGTTAGCTGGCATGGTGAAGCGTTACAAGTTGACAACGTCTTTATTGCAGTGGATGCGACGTGTCGGTGTAGATGCTAGCACCGGTACCGTTATAAAGCAATGTCGCATCCATTGCAATAAAGAAGTTGGCAACCCATGTAAGTGGTTTCTCCTCCTTATACCGACGTCTAAAATGCCACTTAACGACGTCGACCGCCGCCGTGGTGTAGTGGTTAGAGCGTCCGCCCGGAGAGCGGAAGGTCGCGGGTTTGATCCCCGACCGCGTCATACCAAAAGACGTTAAAATATGGTACTTGTTGGTCCCTGCCTGGCGCTCGGCATTAATGGTTACAACAAGGACTGGTCGGCTCGGAGTCAGTATAATGTGTCTGAGTGGGGTATTCATGTTCACTGCGGCATGGTATCTCAGTGGGCTAGCACTATAAAACCAGCCTAAGTCTGGGCTAGTACAAGCAGCCGCACATACACATACACACGCATGCACGTCGTCATATGAACGAAATATTCTCAAGCACGACGTAAAACCCAATTTCACCTCACCTCACCTCACTTAACGACGTCAGTACTCATAGGTTTCCGATGTGTCTACACGTGCATCACTTTGGGTTTCTTTCTCTCCTGTCAAGGTAACACATCGTCACTGAACTGTTCCCTACCTCCCTCCCTCACTCACTATGATATCATGAATATTGGACGTGAAAAACAACATAATGCAAGCTGATAAAAACCTATGAAACTTATTTCCTACTCATATGTACACAATACATTCTACAGCACAATTTGATTTGGAAACAAAAGTTGTTCCTCAATAGTAAACAAATTACTTTTATTTTCAATGCACTCGTTTATAAATTTAACGGGCAGATTTGATCCAAATTATTTTTTTTAAAACGTATACTGTTTAACAATGATTGGCGTTACATCTCGTTTTTGCAACATTTATATATAATTCACATTGTACATTCATCATGACATGTTTACTCTTCCTTCCATTGTATCCTGGGGCGGTATTCATATATAAGCTTATGCTTGTTTACCAATCCGGTTCCTTTCTTTGGAAATATATATGTTTAAATCATACATTCTACAGGTGAGAGGTGAGTGGTGTCAAGTACCCTCTGTGTATGCATGTCACAATCATCAACTCATGTTTGCATACGTTTTGGTGTTGTTATTGTCTGGGCAAAGAAAACATCAAGTTTATTCAGAATGATACCGACAAAGGAGTTTCTTAATGTACAGACATAAAGTATACAGAACGCACCTGTTCATCAGGAATTACGTTGATCATATATATTTGGCTGTTGTTTTCATTTCAGGAAACCAGAGAAAAATCACTTTGGCGCCTGGGAAGCCCCAGTCCCTGATGATGACATGGGTAGGTGTACACGCGTTCACTGGTAACTCCCAGCTTCTGTTGAGTCAGAAACGGACCGATGAATTGCAAATTTTATCATTGTACAAAATTACCACATAAATATAAATAGTACACATGTTTATCATTTACTAATACCCAACAGCTTTCTAATATTAGAAGATTTTCCGGACTCGACCAAAAAAGTTCTTTAAGAAACTATCATTAAAATTTTGACACAGTTCACTATTTGTTACGAGGGAGGAGTGCAGAGAAAGGGGCAGCCAGGTGTTCGAGAAGCACGTGCACAAGTGCCCACCAAGTTATTGATTCATTAGCTTGTGCTGTGCCGTCTCCATCCTTTCTCGCACACCTGGCTGTCATGAGTCTGTAATACGTGTTGGTAGTATGTGGACTGGGTTATTTTACGGACGTTTCAAATCAAGTTTAACGCAATGCTCTTTTGTTTGTTGTTTACGGACGCACTCAGCAAAAATATTGCGGCGGTCTGTAAATACTCAAGTCTGAACTAGACAATCCAGCGATCAACAGAATTAACATAGACCCACGCAATTACGATACGATGACCTGTGTCAACCAAGTCAGCAATCCTAACCTCCCGATCACGTTACTCTTACGACAAGCATTGGTTGCTGAAGACGAATTCTAACCCGGATCTACATATCTTAACACAATGCGACATCTGTGACTGAGGAGGAAAACTTATTCATATTCAAATCTCACTAATTGCGGAACGAATTGTGTCTGCATTCCAAAGTATGATCAGTGTAAAGTATGAATACATGACACGTTTTTATGCATAACGACTTCGTGTTATTCTTTATACGGCGTTTCAGAGCTAAATCTTGTTTCTCATCAGGTGAATGCTGAGTTTTTGGACAAAAAATTTAAAGAAAAAGAATTACCTCTGAAACGTCGTAAAAAGAAGTTGTTATCCATAAATTCATTTTCGTCCAACGTCTAAATGTCTTTCAAGAACTTCAGTGTAAAGTTTAGTCTGGTTACTTTTCAGGAATTGTATCCTGGATGAAATTCAGCGACGGCCATGGAATGAAGCCAGGTAAGGGTAGCAAGAACCTCCTGAACATACCTAAGTCTATCCCGTTTGGAAATAGTTTCTCTTGGCCATTTGATTCACATAATGAGTGTATTCATAGCGTACCATCTTAAACTTTGTCTTATGTTCTATGCATCAGAAACATTTCAGCCAGAGAGCATTAGTCGTCCTTAGATGTACTCCTCCCCCGATGCGACATGGAAACATCTTTGCATTAGTGGGTGTGTTTAGTTTTACGCCGCTTTTAGCATTATTCCAGCAATATCACGGCGGGGGACACCAGAAATGGGCTTCACGCATTGTACCCATGTGGGGAATCGAACCCGGGCCTTCGGCGTGACGAGCGAACGCTTTAACCACAAGGCTACCTCACCGCCCCGATCTTTGCATTTACCTCCGTCATAACTTAGTGTTCATATTCTTGTACTTCAGGTAGTGTCGATGATGAGGATGACTTTTCGAGGATACGACAAAATGGATTTTCTATGTGTCCATCAATTGAAGATTCTAGAGTATTTGAACTACAAAGTCTGCATGATAGATTTAAGAAATCATCATGTCAATTCACTTTAAACGACAACCACGAGAAAAAGCCCCTAGTCCGCCGCAACCCCCAATCCCAGTTCCTTCAAAGACTACAGAGAATGTCCCCGAGGTCCCTAAGCAGAAACCTCACGTTGAAGGTGTCAGGCGTGTTTGTAAGAGTGCCATACCTACACACCAATCAAATGTTTTGACGTCAGAGGAGAAGGAGGAGCTTGCTGCAGTGGACAATATCTCACTTCCGGCTCGGGGTTGCAGTTCTGACGGTCAATCCCAGTCAACGACAAACGCCGCGGATCTCGCAGAGAGTAAAACTAAAGTGAAAAAGCTGATGGGTCTCGCTCAGAAATATATGACCAAGGATGATAAGGCTCGTGATGAAGGAGAAGATTTCAATGATGAAGGATATGATTCTAAAATATCCAACGAAGCGGAAGGAGTAGAGGAATGGAAGAATATGGAAGAGGTGTTACTTGCGCGGGAAAAGTCTCTAGGAGAGACGTATGGGGAAGAAGAAGGTCCCAATCAGATGAACACATTTCAGTGGGTCAGGGATCCAGGTGGAATGTCCCCAGGGAGAATAGTTAAATTGTCTTACGCCCAAAGAGAAAAAACGTTCTATAGTTTAAATGGTGATAAATTTGAGTCTTTGTGTAGAACTTTAAGCAAACAGAATACTGGGAACAATTTCAGGGGCATAATGGCTGCAAGTCTTAGTAACCTCTCTCCAAGCTCACTGAACATGCGCCATTTTAGAGAGGCGGGGAATTTGCATCTTCTAAATTATGGCGTGGCAGGAACACCGAGATGGGGTTACGAAAATAACAGTCGGGGTAACTTTTTGCCAGCTCAGGGTGATGGTGATTCAAAACCCATGATTCTCAGGAAAGTGACAATACAGGATGCTAACTGTGAGGGTAGTGGAGGTGGCGATACCAACTCATCCCCAGAAACACAAACGGCGGAAACACCCGAGTTGAAGCGAACAGACACGACGCTGAATAGGGAGCGATCGAAAGTTCAAGTTAATCACACGTCGCCTCAGCTGACAATAGACTCCACCAAAATCAACAGAAATGTGTCTATACCCTCACCCCAGCAGTATAGGCACATCAGCAGTAGGGTTTCTGCAAGAAGGGGTGATTTACGGACTCCAAAATATGACCCTCGGGATTACATACTTACCGATAACGCCTCTAGTTCTCATATTCCTATCGGGGATTTGTTACCCGCGGTGGAAAAGAGTATCCAGCAGACTCATTCTCAGAGAGGTAGACGATGTCCTGCTGATGACGCCTCACAAGCTTACCCTTCACTCTCGGAGGAGGAGAGAGCCATCCTCATCAAACGTGATGTGGCTGCACTGGCTGCCACCTATGATCCGGTATGATTGAGAAGGGTCTTTAATGGATGTAGACAGGGATTTGACACTTTTGTTTAATATGAGTGTATTTTGATGATATTGGGTTGGTTTGGTTGAACAGAACACTAAACTGAGTAACTGAACGAAAACTCGTATATTGTTTTCAAAAACATTTCTCAGTACTCATAGGTTTCCCGATGTGTTAACACATGCATCTCAGTATTGTTGATTTCTTATATATAAGAGCCAACACCATTTCCATAGGTCTGCACCCGTGAAGGTCCGGGTTAGAATGAACCTTCAGTAACCCATGCCTGTCGTAAGAGGCGACTAAAGGGATCGGGTGGTCAGGCTCGCTGGCTTGGTTGACACATGTCATCGGTTCCCAATTGCGCAGGTCGATGCTCATGCTGTTGATCACTGGATTGTCTGGTCCAGACTCGATTATTTACAGACCGCCGCCATATAGCTGGAATATTGCTGAGTGCGGCGTAAAAGTAAACTCACTCACTCACTCACTCCATGGGTCTGCAAAAGGTCTGCTCAAAGCAGGATTGATGGTACGATTCCGACTTTGTTCGAAGCACGTTATGAATCAATATTGATCAAATAGTGATGATACCAGGTGTTCTAAAACAGCATATCCTGTCACACCCGTCATAAACACACACAGAAACAAGCCTGAAAATATGTTTACAACTTTTATTCTTTGTAATATATGCAAAGCTGTACTAACCTGTTGGCAACAACAAAAAGGGGTTGATTGCTTGTACATGTACTCGTATATACAACGTTAATGCCAAACAACATCCAGCCTCGCTCAACCGCTCACACAGAATCCTTTGGTCAGAATACTAATATGAATATATCGCTGAAAAATTACCCTATTATGTCTTTGTGTATGTCTATATGTGAAACAACAGTGCAGATGCTTAGTGACGTTTGTAATGATATAACATGATAAAAGATTTTGTTTTGCCTTTCAGCCTCACGGTCCTCCGGCGTTCCGACCCCTCCAAACCAGGTCTCCTCTACAACGTGCCAAAGAAATATCAAATAAGAGACTTCACGGACATGTTACACAAAACCCAGTAGGTAGAAGGCTTGGTTGACACAGGAAAATAATAGTTTTCTTAAATGCCAGTTTATTCAAAATAGGTGACATAATATTCATAATAGGTGATCCATATACAGTGAAACCTGTCTAAACCGGCACCCCACGGGACCGAATTAAAATGCCGGTTTAGACAGGGTGCCGGACAATGACGGTAGACAGGGTGCCGGACAATGACGGTCATTTTCCAACATGGCTGCCATTTACACTCGTCAATCCCTTTATCTCTATAAAGTCTTTGATCTTTTGTAATTGTGCAACATATTAAAACAATGTAGGTGATCCATATAGGTAAATGTTGTATGAAGCTAGGTCCTAATATAGCTGCATTCACAATAGCACCAGTAATTCACCAAGGTCTGTCTATTTAACCATATGATAATATACTTTGTATGTATTCCAGGAGGTCGGTAGGGGAGCCTAGTGGTTAAAGCGTTCGCTCGTCACGCCGAAAACCTGGGTTCGATTACCCTCGTGCGTACAAAGTATGGAGCCAATGTCTGGTGTCTCCTATTGTGATATTGCTGGAACATTGCTGACAGCGGTGTAAAACCATACTCACTCACTCACTCTGTATTTCAGGATGGTACAGAAACAGTTCGTGTCGCCTCTCCCCGGTATCAAACAAGAATGCCTCACAGACGAATAGGGTCTTCTACAGGGTAAGAGTCTAGCTCCCATTTCATTTATATATTACCTTAATCTTACAATACAATTATTAATTTGAGTTTTAACATCCTAATGATCACCTCAGAGTAAAGCTTGCATCAGTAAACGAAGTTGTACCTCGTTTGCAAATCGAGAAAATTTAAAAGTTAACGATACCTAAAATGTATTAACTTTGGTTTTAATAGCTATAGCACACGTGGTTTTGTTGTTTTTTCCTGAATGCCGGCTGATGTGTAATAGCGTCTTGTTGAATGTCATCAGGAAACTAAGGGTAAAACTGGCCCTGTTTGGATCAGTAACAAAACTACAGGACAGGATGTCCGCCCGAAGCTCAGTGAGATTCTATACATATCATTGTGGTTTTAATGTAGTCGCTTTTGGAAGGTATAAATCGCAACTCTGTGCTGTGAAAATAGATAGTCATATCAGAGAGGATCACGAATACAGATTGAGATTTTAGATGATGTCCTATTCTAGGCCGTAGAAATATAGCTATGACTTGTAATTCGATTTCAGTGAAAATTTTAGAGGGATGGGCATTAAGTATGTTCATCTGTAGCTCACCTTTTTCGTCATTTAAAGGAGTTAGCATTTTTCTTGCACATCATTGTAGATTTTGCACTGCACTTACTGTAATATAGAAATTGTAGACAATACTTTAGATTATTATCTTATCTTGGGTATGGGTATCTTAACATACTGATATTCTATTTGTTCTGGTCTGCTATTTCTCAGGATGGTGGGGTAACCTAGTGGTTAAAGAGTTCGCTCGTCACGCCGGAGACACGGGTTCGATTCCCCTATATGGGTACAAAGTGTGAAACCCATTTTGGACTCCTCTGCTGTGATATTGCTGGAATATTGCTAAAAGCGGACTTAAATTATACTCACTCAGTCACTCACTGCTATTTGTCAAATGCAAATTTACTTGTGAAAAACACAGGTGGTCCCGTGATCTAAATCATTTCGACTTACCGTGTAGAGTTATCTCTCTTTCCATGCCAAGATCCGCTAGTCAGGAATCCAAATCAGGGATCATCCGTATTTTGATCCTTGGTCAATATAATTAGTTTGCAGAGTCATCAGTTTGACAGAGTTAGTGTCTTCCCTGTTTTCAGCTTGGCGCAAATGTTATGCCTTTTTCATTTCAACAAGCTTGTGTCAAGATATTCGTTACAGCTCAAGTCACTATTTAGTCTATGTCGCTGTCATAAATTCCTTCCCCTGCGCCCTTTATGTGAACATGGCAAATATTCCATAAATGCGTGTTTGATAACCATTACTTTACTATAAAACTTCAACAATTACAGTAAGGTCAAATCGTGTTAGAACTGGTCTTCTGCAACCCATGCTTGTCGTAAGAGGCGACTGACGGGATCTGGTGGTCAGGCTTGCTGACTTGGTTGACACATGCTGTTGATCACTAGATTGTCTGGTCCAGACTCGATTATTGCAAACGTGTATTGCAATAAAAGCGCTTTCCCTTTACATGTTCTCGCCCGTCGCCCCATGCGGTATGAGTGTTATTGCAAGATCCGTTGTGCTATTCGTTTCTTTCGCCTTCCTGCTTTGTTGGACTGTTCCGTTTGATATATGCATATATCCATATTAAACAGGTTCGAATAAAATGTAATTGTTCAATATACAGTCCATTTAATCGTTTGATTGTTAAAATACCCCATGTTCCATATCTACAGAATTAATAGTTATCTGTTACATGTATCAAATGATGTTTGGATATTTATTGTTAATGCTAGTTTGTAATTCTTTGATTTATCATAGACACACTACTATCTTAAGATATATGGAGATGTATGTGAATTGCCGTTTTTACTGCTCATTGATACAAAAGTTCATTTCTGAATTACAACAGGCGTGGAAAGGAAGCCGTTGTTACTCCTCGGTCACCTAAACAGGATAGAGTTCCTAGACTCCTATTGTCTAAGTCGAAAAATGTTCAAGGGGGTCAGTATCATCACGGGTTTCGTTGGTTTGTGGCGCACCTTGCATCAGTTATTGCAAATGCCTTGTAGTGCATCAGTCAATATTACGCCAGAACAAAATGCCTTGTGATGTAAAGTGGTTCGATATAGCTCCAGTCAATCAGCGTGTACGCATTTGTATAGCGCAGAACAAAGCTGCAAAGATCATGTCTGTCTATGATGTCAATAAGATTTTTGCGTTAGTCCCTCGATCAAACAGGCAGTTAGTGTGGCAAATAGGAAATTGCATTGTCATGTCCACAAACATCAAAGGAACAATTTAGGGACTGAAAATAGAAAGTATCCATTTTGAAAAAGGATACATGTTATTGACTGGAGCTAGAGATATGTGTTTGCATGTAGTAGCTAAATGGAGCTGAATTCCTTTATAATCGGACAAAGCTCTTCTAAAAATTAAGGAATTATTAAGTTGTTTTATTAAGTTCCCGTATACTTATTTATGTTGTTTATGTTTAAAAACTGTAGATGTTGCATCCCTATTGCACATTTTGTGAATTAATTGATTCAATATTTTTATGTTCTATTCGTACTCTGCTGGGAGCACGGATGGCCCAGTCGTTTAAGGCGCCACAGTTGCCTCCCCTACCAGTACAAGGAACCTACAAATATCGATTCGAATCCAAGTCGCACTGAATGTTTTTTAGGTTTTCAGCAACATACCCAAACCCTTGCGACGCTTGGGTTCCCTCCCATACTGACCTGTGAAGGTCTGCGTTAGAATTGATCTTCAGTAACCCATGCTTGTCGTAAGAGGCGACTAACGGGTTCGGTTGGTCAGGCTCACTGACTTGGTTGACACATGTCATCGGTTCCCAGTTGCGCAGATCGATGCCTATGCTGTTGATCACTGTCTGGTCCAGACTCGATTATTTACGCACGGCCGCTATATAGCTGTAATATTGCTGAGTGCGGCGTAAAACTAAACTCACTCACTGACTCCGACACTGATATTGTCGTGCCGTGATATAACTGAAATACTGTTCCTGACGGCGTTGGGTTTCAATACACTCACTCACACGTCCCCGATAAAAGACTTTCACTGTCTAAAATGAAGTTTGTGAAAAGACATATTTTTGTTACTCATGCACCAATCTTTGTTTGTCATGAATTTCAAATCATGCTGAATAATGAACCTCATGCATCCATATTGACCAAATTGTTATATGTTAATAAACATGTTGTATTATGGCTCGTGTGAAGATAATCACCTGATCGCCCCACCATGCTTAGTTAGATTTCTAAGTGTTGTAGATTCGTAAACAGAACATTTTCATTTCAGCCAAATCGAGTTAAATGAACAGCGAGGAATACCTCGATGTGTGGAAATCATTTATGTACCGAAAACTATTCCACTGAGTCACACAATAAACCATTCTGAACAAGCCCCAAATCAATCTAGTTGATCTGAAATAACTGACTGGAACTGATGAAACGTATTCTTTGTATTCATATTCTGTACTTAATATATAATGATGTGTATAAAAAGAAAGAAAACTGCCAGTTGAAAAAGCTTTAAATTATTCGTTTTATTTACAAAATAATTAGGCAAATACAGTAACATGTGGCTGAATTGGTTAACATCATGAATATATCCAATATTATTTGGATAAGTGTTTTATGAAACTGACATGTTCTTATGTAGATGATATTCATCACTTATTGTTTGATAAAGCGTGTAAGTTTTAACTTAACCTTATTACTGGTCTTACCGCTAAGGTGATCGTAACTTCCATACTTCACACAGACTTACGACAATCGTAATGTAATGGTTACTTTGTACAACGGCCATGTCGTGTCATCAGTGCACATGATATTCAGGATTATTGTGTCTGAATCAATGTACATGTATTCCAAAAATATCCCATACGATTTATAATTTTTTCTTTAATTTTCAGCTTTCTAAGCAGAGTTATCAGCGGTCCATTCAAGCGGAAGTGTTAGATGACTGAATCCCGGAAGTGATTAAACAAGCATATATTCGTCAGAAAGGACGCTGCCATGTGTATGGGATGTTTCGGTGAAATTTGGTAATTTGATGATCAGTATTATGATATCATGATACCCAAAGATTTGACCCCAAAATGACGAGTAAGCTAGACTACCTCTTTAAGATAAACTATACTTTGATGTCTAAAATCAACCGCCTGTTGTAACTAGACATTTTTGCATTTTATATCTGAGATACGCATTCACATTTTCAAGCCAGAGTTCAAAGTTACCCAAACAGGTAAATGTGAGTTATTTTATTGGATATAGATAGATATGTATATTTTACAGATGGAGCTCATTGTTACGTATGGGCCATTAAAAAAAAGTCTTGAAATAATGTGAATACTTTTGTTTATTTTGATATGTCATATTATCTTTGTATTAAAATAAACATCTTATATTGTTGAAACATATGCGCCATGTTGTGTTTTCCTGTGTTCAAAAGTAATAAAAATTGATAATGGTTATTCTGAAGAGGGGCGGTGGGGGTAGCCTAGTGGTTAAAGCGGTCGCTCGTCACTACGAAGACCCGGGTTCGATTCCGTACATGGGTACTATGTGTGAAGCCCATTCTGGTGTCCCCCTCCGTGATATTGCTGAAATATTGCAAATAGCGGCGTAATACCATACTCACCCACTCACTTTTCTGTAGAATTTCTTCCTTACAGCATGTTGCTTCAATTATGCATGGTTTCGTACACACATTTGACGCGATATATTTCTCTGGATTTGAACCCACCTGTAATAAGGAACTTTCGTTTCTATCAGCAGTCGTCTGGAAACATAATCTTCTCGGGTGATTAAATGTATACAAAGGAAAATATAGTTTTTGCTTCAAAATCCTAAACACAGATAATGCATTTTTACAAAGTGGACATATGTCGAAGAGAGCAAGATGTACGTTGTAAAAGCTAACGTTGTGGAGAAATGCATTGAGAATTATTCTTATTACACTCCCAAGTGTGCAGGATATAGCCAGCATGAGGCTTTCCATGGTGACAATGTCTATATATCGCCAACATGATGCAATAAAACGTTCCACGACCTAGATGGCAACACTGAAGACACTCCAAATAAACGTCAACAAACAGGACGGAAATCCAATCGGTGGAACCGAGGATGATGAAAATATGAAGGCATGCTTACATTCATTTTACATTAGTTGTTGATCTGGCCACAGGCAAACTGTAGCGCAAATAGTGTTGCGCAACAAAGAGAAAATGACCAACCTGCCTATCATTCGTCACCACTCGCCCCTTTCCGTAACCTCCAAGATGACTCGTCCCCCACTCGATACTTGTTATGTGCGAAAATACGACAAACCAATCAGAACGCGCGTAAATGAGCGCGGTGCTTTGATAAAAATAATCCAGAGTACTTAAATCGTTTATGGCATTATGTCATTGTTTAAAGAATCATGAAAATTATATATCGTCATATTGAAAGTACAAAGAACGTAGCTAAAAGGATTTTGCTGCCTATTATGAAGTTTTTAATAAGAATCATGCGATTGACCGTGAGAGATTCAAATACACGCACGTGCGTTTGTTGACATCACTGGTCTCATGGGTCCAACTGAGTGTATTTCTGACGATCTTGCGGGCTTGATATGGAGATTGTACGTGCGCTTCGACCAATTTTAGGAAATGTAATTATAATCGCCACGAGTTTCAAAACAATAATATCGTATTTGTATGTAACTAATCAACTTTAATCTTTAACATTGGGCTTATATTTCATAGCTCTGGGGATATTTTAGTCTGAGTGTTTTTTGGTCATTAATATTTTTTTCAGCGAATTCATTTGAAATTCCACCAGGGGTGTGACAGCAAGGTTACACGAATGTTCAGTTTGAGAAATATTTTAAAGTCATTTGGGATTTAATGTAGATGATTTATTTTATTTTTATTATTTTTTTTGTATATTCAATAAAACAATTCCCATTTGTGATAATTAAACCCCATTAAGAAAATTAACATAATTGGAAATATAAAGTGAACAGCTGGTAATAATTACATTAGAATATGTCTAACAAATATGTTTTTCTCCTTCTTTTAGTTGTATCAAAGAGGTTTAATTATTTAAAATAAGTAAGTAAACAAAACCCCAAAACAACAACCTAGCAATACAATGTACATGTGCTTCGGTGATATTAAGAAACTTTGGAATCAAACAGGGATAGAGTTATTGTTCTTTTTTAAAGTAGTTCTGATGTTCATGCGCCAATATGAAATCCTTCCCGAGGGGCACGAGTCGCTATTCGGCTTGTCCCGGAATAACACGAGTTGGTCTCGAATGCCTGCCTATATGCGAGATTTGCTCGCTTCGCTCGCATATAGGAAGACTGGTCACTTTCTCTCTGTTGCGGCAGCCCTATTTGCGCTACAGTTTGCCTGTGATCCGGCACACACTCTTAAGATGCATTATCATGGGGTTGTGTAGCATTGCCCCCATTTCCAGTACGAAGGTAAATTATTGTTTTCCCATCCTCCCCTGCTTCATACGGTGCCGACACACCAATACGGTCTCTCTCCTCAAGTCGATTAGCGAGTGATCCACACTCTCTCGAGGCTGAACTTGAAGGGAAATCTAAATATTCAAATGAACAGGGGTCTACACTTGTCACAGTAGAGTTGTCCGATCCATCGGAATATTTTTCAAAGTATATCTGTTTAGGATAATCAGTTGCTATTCTTCGTATTCTTCGTGGCGTTCTGCCTTGTTTATCACATGCGTACTGATCAGCACCTTTGTCCACGAGAATATCATACAGTTCAAGGAATGCCCCTTTGGCTGCATAGTGCAGTGGTGTCCATCCATGTTGATCGACAGAATTCAGGTTAGCATCCTTTTCCAAGAACAGCTTCACACAGCCAATTCCCCCATTTCCGGCTGCAATGTGAATAGGGGCCCTGTCCTGCAGATCCACAGCACAAAGATTGGCTCCTTTTTCTAGAAACAGCTTAGCAGTTCCTGGTGTCTTTCTTTCCGCAGCCACATGCAGTGCAGTTCTGCCCTTGTCATCTTGAATGTCCAACTTCGCACCATATTCCAAGAGCAGTGATATACATTCTCCATTCAAATCTGGAACTAAGTCTGGTAGTGCCTTCCTTTCAAACATGGTAGATGTGGGTACAGACGTGGGTACAGATGCGCTTAGGAACGACTTAGAATCAATTCCGTCTTCAATTGTAGCATATCTGTGAAGGGGCGTCATTCCCATTGTATCCCGTGAGCAAGGATTTGCCGCGTTCTGTAAGAGTAATTTCATTGTATCGCTTTGTCTGAATTCAGTTGCATAATGCAGTGGCGTCCTGCCATATTCATCCATCGCATTTACATCAACACCACCTTTCAAGATAAACTGCACAATATCGAGTGCCTGTTTTCCTGCTGCAATGTGACGGACTCTCCTCTTAATTTCCACGTCCTCACAAGCTGTAGCAATCCTCATGCTGTTCAAATCTTGGAGTCTTGGTTTGCAACTTGAGTGTAACAGGGAAGTACCATGTTCATCACGCTTCTGTAAGTCAAACCCCTTTTGACACATCAGTTCAACAACATCAACGTCACCAAATTCAACTGCAGGAAACAAGGCTGTCCTTCCTCTGTTGTCCAGACCACAACAATGAACATTCTGAACTTCAAGGAGGTACAGGAGTTTCTCAACGGCATCAATTTCGGTCGAGGCGGCTTTATGAAGCACCGTCTCGCCAGCATTGTCTCTAATGTCAAGTGATGCTCCCAGCTCACACAACAGCTTCAACATCTCTACCTCTCCATATAGGGCCACCAGCATCAAACTTGTTTGTCCATATAAGTCAAATTCTGGCATTGATGTCAACTCCTTTGTTGCACAAGTACCTGACAGTGTTCACATCTCCACACTTCCCAGCTAGATGCATACATGTTCTTCCATTGCGATCTGCATGGTTTATGTCACTACCAGCTTCAACCAGAGCTTTCACGATGACCGTGTGAGTTTGATTTGAGCATATGAGTGGTGTCTGTTTGTCTGCATTCATCATATTAACCATAGCATTTTCCTCAAGTAGAATTTTAAGACACTCTACCGATGAGCTCTTAACAGCTACATGGAGTGGCGTTAACCCAAGATAATCTTCAGCATTCACATCTCCACCGGCTTTACACAGTATTTGTATCACCTGAGCGTTGTTTGCCTTGCAAGCAAAATGAATTGCCACACGATCGTTCCAACTTTTCCTGTTTACAAACTGCTTCAAGCTGTCAGTTGCCCAGTTTTCATCCTCTTCACTTTGGGCATGAACAAAACGTATATATGAGCAAAGAACGTTTGTTTTCATGTGACTGTCAATTTTGGACATTGCTGCTAAATGGAAAACAGTATATGTTTCAGATTCTGTTGTCATGGTGATATCTGCGCCACACTCAAGTAACTTAGCAACACAATCAGAACTACCATGGAGTGCTGCCTCATGTAAGAGGTTTACTCCATGAATCACGCAATCGTAATCCACGCCCATCTCAAGAAGATGGTTTAGGATCACGGCGGTGGGATGAGCAATGGCAAACCATATCAAATGCTCCAGGTTCCGAACACAACCCGTTGCGAGAAGTCTGAGTTTTGAACACCAAAGAAAATGCGTTCCGAACACAATCCGTTGCGAGGATTCTCCTGACAGCATAGTCAATTGTTATATTTCCAGGACTGGTATGAGCATGTTTATCTGATCTCGATAACACGCTGCAAAGAACTTTCAAGCAATCCCGTAATGCACACATGTCCTCATTTTGTATTTTACGTTCAAGGAACATTTCAAGAAAGTGTCGCTTTTGCGTGAGCAAAATAGCAATGACGTATTTTTCAACCGATCCCACTGTATACCAAATGACAGGATCTCTTGGCTGATGTGGTCTGTATTGACTGGTGAATAGGGTGATCCACAGAGAGCTCGAGTGCTGGTTATATCGGGGACTCTCCCCATGGCAAGTATGTAGTTGATCAGATCGTGATCATTTACATACACCGCGCTTGTTAATAGTTCCGTCAGTAACGCATCTGGAGACTGCTTATCAATGGCGGCGATCAACAACTCAGATAGTGTCCTTATGTTTTTGATAACCATACACGATGGGATGTATGAGCAATGGAATAGGCTTTGATACGGCGAATCTTCTACTGGTTTTCCAATTCTAATTTTCAAGTGACATGGCATTGCAATGTCAATATGTCACTCAATCTTCCTCCATCTTTCCATATTCTGAACATCACGTCTGCAAATTCGGCATCACGTAGAGCTGGATGGTCAAGAACAAGTAGAGAGTCATTAGACAACAGCAGCTGGGTGAGTCGGTCAGCTAGAATACCATAATCGTCCCTCGACACAATGACCACCACTTCATTTGCCCTTGCCTAATGTATCTCTGTTCTCACAAGTTCCAGAAGCAGTTCTGCGAGACATATTCCAAGGCACATCGCCGGCGATATCGAGGCCAAAGATATGAAAACAGCATCAAATACTGACTGGTGGTAACACTTTAAAATGTTGTCAACTTTTCGCAAATATATACCACAGATTGATTCAGCCTTTGTCAAAATAGTACGTAAACTTGGTCTTGAGTCAATGTCACACAGGGGTATTAAGGTATCAATGACCTTTCTGACAGTTTGAGCTGTGTTTATCTGTTTCAACAGGTTTATATCTAAGGCGTCATTATTCACCAGTACGAGCAGGAGAACGAGATATCCCAGAGGATCACTTTCTTTAAGAGTTGTGATTTCTTCTGTCATGTATACATCCGGTCTGCAGAAAAACTTAATCCCTTCAACCTTTGCCTGCTTACTTCCGGCATAAAATGAGCAGCACTGTTGGAACCCAAGAGATCTTTTCTGTAATTTCATTTATTTCTTCCTCTGAAAAATGTAACTTTCCACAATATTGTTTCAATAATCTTTTCTTTTCACTTTTCCGAAGAGAATGCTGTACTGAGTCAAGTGAAAATTTCCGGATGTTCTTGAATAATGTGTATTTCTTGAGGCGACTTTCACACTGGGCACTGATGTTTGGTCTGGATGTTATGATGAGATAGATGTGTCCAGATTCTACAGCCACATGATGTCAAACAACCTGCTCCACTCGTCCATCCTAGTTTGCCAAGGTTGCTGCATCCAAAAATGTTGTCAAGCATCACAACATATTTAGGGTTGTTATTAGTAGCATAGGTTCTCTGTGTTTGGGGAATCAGGTTCCATTCGTTATACGACGTAAGTATAATTGGCCTGCACCCTTTCTCTTTTGACATATCATCAAGAAGTTTTAATCCAATCCTGGATTTACCTGAACCAGATTTCCCCTTGATGAAGATACACCTAAATGATCGGAGGATTTTTGCAGCGGATCTCTCAGCAAATGTTGTCACATATTGTAATGGGTCGTCGTGGTTTATCAGCATTTTTGTTGAATCTAGAAAATAAATATACTATAAGCAGTTGTTCTTACAAGGCTTTGATTTCTATGGATATGTGTAAACATATTATATTCCTTCCTGAATGTCCAAGATCCCAAATATGGCCTGCTCCACGGTAAGACAGAGGTACCAACTGCCACATGAGGTGAGGTCAAATTGACTGGAATTTGCCCTCATGACAATTAGGAGATAAACGTACTGTGTTTGGAAATTAGATGAATGTTAGACCGAATTGATAGTCTCTAAATTAATCATTCGTGAGGTTTCAAATGATTAATTTAGAGACTATCAATTCGGTCTAACATTCATCTAATTTCCAAACACAGTATGTTTATCTCCATTCTACCATAACCGATTTAACATCGAACTTCCTCGCCCTGCGGAAGACACTGCGTAATCCGGCATGGGATGAGAGGCGAATTGAACTCGTCTTTTAAAGGAGTGGTAGGTTCCGTTCGTATTTTTTTTAACATTGCAACATAAAAAATATTCTGTCCAAAGAAAACAAACTACTGTTTATTCAATGCAATAATGTAACACCTAAGAGCTTGGTTTTTATAATCATAACTCCACAAGACCGATATAATACCAGCCTATTGTTTTGTGTGCCGTATTACTGTACGCCCCTGGCCACAGTATAATGGAATCGTCTGACCTACTTATTCACGAACGTTTTGCCGCACAAATAGGATAGATGAAAATCAGAGACATGCTTTACTGAATTGATGGCGACTAAATTTCAATTGGAACCGAACGTGCGCGTAGCGTGAGGTTTCAATTGATATATTTAGTCGCCATCAATTCAGTAAAGCATGTCTCTGATTTTCAAACACACTAGGGTTATCTCCATTCTACCATGAACCATTTAAAATCGAACTTCCTCGCTCTGCGGAAGACACTGCGTAATCCGGCATGGGACGAGAGGCGAATTGAACTCGTCTGTGAAGGGAGCGGTAGGTGCCGTTCGTATTTTTTAAACATTACAACATAACAATATTCTGTCCAAAGAAATCAAACTACTGTTTAATCAATGCAATTAAATTATGTAATACCCGAGATCTTGGGGTTTTTTTTCATCCCAACTCCACACGACTAAAACCAGCCTATTGTTTTGTGTGCCGTGAAACTGTACCCCCCTGGCCACACTATAATGGAATCGCCTGACCTACTTATTTTCTTCGAAGTAGACAGTTACGCAACAGTTTGAAATGGCGGACGAGCCAGTGTTTACATTTTGCGAAAGGTTGAAATTTGAAGTGACAGTGGGTAATACTTGACTGACTGTCGAATCTGAACCCTGCAGAATCGAAGAATAGATCCTTTCCTGATCAACCTACGACCTGTAACTCATCAAAGACTGTTGATTTTTTATGACCGGCCGATCATGATTTCACGTACTGCCTCAACCCCGGCATGCGACAAAAGGGTGACAGTGCTGCTGCTTAGTGTACATGCGACTAACTTGTGATTCCTTGGAACTTTGTTTTCTTCGTTTGGGACTGGACTGTGTCCAAGCGTTTTTCAAAGTAGATGAACATAACAGTGACAACCTTGCGGGGAAGCTGTCAGAGAGCAGAATTATTCTGTGAACGATGCAACGGGATATGATGGAGTATGACTGTGAGTGGCATAAATGTGGTGTTTCGCCAGACCGTTAGATCTACTAGTATCTTGCAAATTTCCCATTCTAAACGGAATTAAATATACCATTTACCAGGTAGGTAAATGTTTACTAATGTTTTGCTGCATAGTTTGTATAGGTAGGGATGTATTTTTACAAGGCTTTCTGATTTATATGTTACATATTGTTTTGTTTATGTTTGGGGCTGTGTATTGTAACTGAGTTTGAATATTTTTATAATAGAATTAATATGATAGTGAGGTTCCCTCATAATAATTGTTGGTGGTGTCATATTATTGTCATGTAAATATTATTGTATTTTTTTCGAGTTTAAATAAATGTTTATCAGCATTTCCATCACGTCTGTTGTGTTGATATTAGTCATGTTGGTGGTCAAGCTGAAGTAGTGCGGCAGTGTTCTATACGTGCGCAGTGAAGCGCAATGAAATCAAACGCATTTTAATCCAAAAATTTCCAATTGCCTATGTGGAATATTCGAAAGTCAGCGTCAAAATCCATGGAGTTGTTGTTATGATCCTCCATCATTGTGGTCAAACGGAAGTAGTTCGCACAATAAGATTTGTTAATGCGCTTACCGAGTATAGCGTTGACCCTTACAATCAGATGAGCGTCAATCCACAATTGATGCCGTCTGATTTTTCTGAACAACCAATCAGAATCTAGTATTTTCTTGATTCATGGTAGAATAATATCTTGAGACTATTTTGGTATTGGACACATTAAATAAAACTCCCTTTTGATCTTACCCAGGTATATTGTCTAAACTCAGTTTCGGCGTTTCCGATTATACTTACGGATGATATTAGCGAGGGGAGTGTGGTGCGCATCTGAAACAGGGCGAAATCAAACAGTGATTAGATAGACTCTACTCTGTTGTTTGATCATCAACACTGTTCATAACGTCTTCACTTGGTGGAAGCTTGGGTTTGGAAGCATACGTTATATTTGGGATTACACTTTCACACTCGTTTTGTATAAATCGTATGGCACACTTGATTGTCCGTGTAATAATCTCTATATATTACTCTCCAATAAATAAGATGCTTTGCCCAGCAAACTAACAGTTAGAGCTGAGTAATGTATGCTATCCCTCTGTTGCAATATGTTGTTAAGTGCAGCCGGTACTTTCTTCTTATGCATCATATGATACATAACGTAGAAGTTATATCCGCACTCTCTTGCGCAAATAATAGAAATGAGGACAAATGTAATGTACACCATGACTCGGATATAAATAGCCATTGGCCTCTGAAAGTCTCCTTATAAACCTTCATAATTACCAACGGCCAAGAAAGCAGGAAGTGTAGCAATTCACCCGTCTCAACCATAAAACGTTAATAAAACATACGAAAAAAGTAATTTAATCTGTCATGTACCTTCAGCTGAGAGATATCTGGAGTTACAATGTAACATTTGGTTTTGTAAAGCTTCGAAAACCTGTGACATCGAAGTGCCTCCTAACATGAAATTAAATCTGCTCAGAAATACGGCCTACTATCACCTACAGTTGCGGACAATACTCGTGTTAAACTGAACAGTACTTTTTTACAGAAAGTACAAATCACATCAGTGAGATTAGTGATGAGAGATATGAATACTTACCAGACTGAGTCGCCATATTGAAGTTAGGGTCAAACGTCACTCGTTATGCACCGGTTAGCACAGGTCACGAACGCAAATGTCAAGCTGTTTCGTTTACATGAAGAGATTCATTATACGGCCTATTTTTTTGTCAGTTGGGAACTTAAATGCTTTGGTGTGACGCAAAAAGACATTTATTTAAAAAAAAAGCGTTTGATGGCGTGAACACGACTTCTGTATTACTTGATGCCTCATGTGATGAGAGTACCCGTCTTTCTTGTCAAAGTTTTGGGTTCCGGTCCCATATTGTTATTATATGTTGAGTGGTTCCTGTCGTCGAAATGCCATTATTTTGAGAAATGTCACACAAATCCAAACTCACTCACGTTGTAACAATGTCCCTAATGGGACAGTGATGCAAGAGTGTGTCTAGTATCTCGCTCAGCAATATTCTAGCTTCATGTATATAGGGGCGGTAGGGTAGCCAATTAGATAGAACGTTCGCTCGTCACGTCGACAACCCGGGTTCAATTCCCCATGTGGGTACGCTGTGTGACCGCCGTGATATTGCTGCAGTATTACCAAGGGTGGCGTAAAAACAAACTCGCACACTCCAGCTATATGTCGGCTGCCAGTAAATATTCTGGAATCTGGACCAGACAATCGAAACGATTTGTGTTGTGAACAACGTGTATCGAAACATGACAAGCTATCCCAGGGTAGGAAACTGCAAAAACATTCAGCCAGACAGCGGCGCTGGTTATATATAAACCTTGCCAGCCCTGACCAAAACATACCTGCCCACAAAAATATACTCATATACATGTCTAAATTTTAACCCGACCCTGACCATTTGAGAATCAGGAAAATAACCCGTCCCGTGCGGCAGGCAGGTATTTCGAACGATGGCTATCCCGCAATCCATCATTTCTGACGACCGCTGGTTATCCCCCGATCCATCACTTCTTAGAGAGCCTGCTCGTAGCGCCTCTTATCCCTACAGTCAATGCAGGTACCCGGTATTTTTTATAACAAATGCCAGGTTTGTCATCCTATGTTTATTAGTAGATCCAGATAATTAAGTCTCTTGTTGATAAAAGTTGATCCAAGGAATGAAATATAGCGTATCCTACATAAAGAATATACATAAAGAATATCGGAACACTCTTTGTAAAACTGCAGTACGACCATATGACACAGTATGTAATGTTTGAATTAATTCATAAAAACGTCAACAAAGTCAATTCCACAAAATAATCAGTTTTTTAAGTGTCTTAGAAGTTTGAAGAAGTTCTTCTACACTAAACAAATATATTATTACTCTATTCATTCTTAAAACTAAGAAATATACTATTGTTGATATAACAAGCGCAATAACTATGCAAGAATACGTTTTCAATTAATTCATCTTATTAGTATCATTGCAGGGGTGGTATCATATCAGGATTAATTCTTTACAAAACAGCTCTGTACTGGTACTTGCATAATGTCTATTACTATTGGAATTAGTTATCGTTGACAGAAAGGGGGCGGTGGGGTAACCTAATGGTTAAAGCGTTATCTCGTCACGCCGAAGACCCGGGTTCGAATCCCCACATGGGCACAATGTGTGAAACCCATTTCTGGTGTCCCCCGCCGTGATGTTGCTGGAATATTGCTAAAAGCGGCGTAAAACCAAACTCAGTCAGTCAGTTAACAGAAAGAGTTATCGTTGTGCATTCTCCGTGTTGTTGAAGTGTCGAGGCGAATCATACAGTACAGTTTTATGCAATATAAAAGCACGCTATCTCCAAACGTAAAGCTAATTATTTGCGTGAAACTTGAACACCATTTTGTCACAGACTACAATGATCTTAGCTCCTTACAATTGGTCCGGACCAATTGTAAGTTTCGATTGTAACTTACAACGGTCTTAGCCTACAATCGCTTTGTGCAAGTCGATGGCGATTGTAGCCGAAGCCTAAGATCGCGATCTTAAGGATTTACAATAATTGTAGCGCTAAGATCGTTCTGTGCAAGTGGGCCCTGGTCTTCACACGCCAACATGAATTCTTTTCTTGAGGGGCATGAGTCGTTATTCGGATTGACCCGAAACAACACGACTGGGTCACGAATGTGACAATTGGGAAAGCGTTGCTTCCCTTCCACTGACAAATTGATCCACATTCCCGTGTTAGCGAATGCTTGAAAGCCAAACACAAACAACATTAATATAACACAATTAGAATTGAACATGATCATCTATTACTAAAAGTTGGTACATCGCTGTTTGTTACTTCAGAAAACAGGGTCCCTATTGATTAAATAACTGGTGGTAAATGGAATGAAAATATCAAAAGTTCCAGTATGGTAAACACATTGGGAAAGATATTGGAACATGGGTGTGTAACAGCTCGCGCCGAGAAAACACGACTCGCTGTGGGGTTTGAATCCGTTTATTCGAGCAGAAGAAAAATACCCCGTCTATAAGACAAAGCAACTCCGTTATCTCCCTGTCCGACGGCAACGTGATGAAAAACCTGGTGACAACTCTGGCTTGGCCTCACATGTTCGCCACTCAGAACGCAATGACAGCCACCAGACACCACGAGGTATCATCTTCTTGAAACAGATGATCCAATCACCCATTTAAAATCTTCAATGTTATCACAAATATTCCCACTAACATGAAATGCACGTAATATGCATATTCATCAACCTGGCCGAGACATCCAGACAACCGAGGCATGTTCAGAACCCCGAGCGCCCGCGCTATTGCCTCCCGTGAGCGCTCGCATCGGCCCTGAACGGACGCGAGCGCTTGGTTACATTAAACCATTCGTGACCAACTCGTGTTATTCCGGGACAAGCCAAATAGCTTCTTTTATTAATATATTCTTAAAGGTGAAATACTGTAAATATTGGTGTAAATAAAAATGGTATTTCACGGAGTAGAATATCACTTTTTCCTCGAACTACGAAATGCGAACTACGAAATCGATGTCTCGATCATTTATAAAGAAAGGTCAAAATATAACAAATAGAATAGTTTTTTAATGTTGTCAAATAACATGTATATTTTATCTCGTGGTCTGACAAAGTTGATATCTTCACTCGTGGCTGCGCTACTCGTGAACAATATCAACTTTGTCAGACCACTCAATGAAATATACATGTTATACGACAACATTAACAAAATATCCTCTATGTCTTATTGTTGGAGGTTACGGAAAGGGGCGAGTGGTGACCAATGACATTAAACATGGTCGCCATCCTGGTTCGCTTGGCGAGGCAGCTGTGAGGAAGGTTCGCGTGCGCGCGCGAACGCTGGAACGGGCACAGGCGTTCAGGATCGAGCGCTCGCTAGCGTTCGCGGGCACACGCGGTTCTGAACACGCCACAGGCAAATAGAATACCATGAATACTATTACCCTCAACACTGTACAACACAAAAAAGGAAATATTTTGTATAACTTTTTATTGACTTTTAAATAAAACAAAAATAATCAAAATACACAATAAAACCACAATGTATTAAATACGTGAAACCGTCACTGCTACAGGTGTATACAAATTATGCTGAAACATTAATTTTCGAAATGCCCCGAAGTCTAACAATCATAATGACACCATCACGTGTATACCTAAAGACACTTAGGTCACAGCATTAATCAAACCATCAAACTGATTTCACACAAACATTAAGGAGAAGAAAAAAACACCCAAAATATGGTAAAGTTGTTATGTTACATAGTGAACAGTTAACACAATACTGGTTTCCTCGTGATGTTCAATGATTCAGGTGTTTTTATGATCAGACGATCAATAGATAATATAATCAAGATGTCCTCGGAAAAATGGAACAACCTTCCATCATAATCATAAATCCAGAAATCACATAATAGTATGCAAAACGTATAGACATGTATCAACACAAACAGATATGTATCTTGAAATCATGAAGACTTTAACTTATATATTTGATAGTTTAAAAGAAAATAGGCAACCTGACAAGTGAACTACTAGGCTGGACTTGTGTTTCTACACAATATATTCAACAAATGAAAACTCCAGCACGAAAGACACAATGTACCTGTTTCCACTACCTCGATGTTGACATGTACACCTGTACACCGGATTATGGATTTAACCAACTCATTACATGATATTTTATGTGAAATATGTAACAATATCTACAAATGTTCATAAAAGGACCATTTAGAAATCATTTACATCAGTATGTTTGGATAAAGGCCACTTTGAAGAATCACAGTTACATAAGTTACATAGCTGCAAGAGTTGTATGATCCCCAGGGAGTTGAGATTGATAATACAATGTGCCATTTGAGATTGACATCTAATGATCGAAGGAAAAACAAAGCGCCTTTCAGCAGGTGATCTGGATATTGGCGCTATACAAATATATATATATATATATATATATATATATATATATATATATATATATATAACAACTTTTTTTTTATATATATATATATATATATATATATATATATATATATATACTGAAAGGCAAAAGAAATGTCGAATATTGGAAATGACATTTAAGAATCAATGGAACATTTGAACCTATTTTTTAAAAATAATACGCCACTGAAATGCAGTACCGACTTTCATCAGAGAAGATAACCCCACTCCATTGTCCCCCACGACAGTTTTGCCGCTGTTGTGTCCACTTGGATACGTTCCCCGCGGTGACGTCGGGTGAATATGGGTCTCCTGGCAGGACATCGACAAAACAGGTTCCTGGCTTGGAGACGTCGCCGAATGGTAGGTCACTGACTGGTCGCTGGTTGTTTCCTGTGGTCACCCAAGCTGTTTCTCTGGCCCTTGCGAATAGGTCTTGCACGTGTTGACGGACGATATGACGGTCCTGGCGACGTGTTGTTACACGGGGTTGACCACTACGTGGACGGTCATCAGTGCTGCTGGTGGCGTTGTATCGCACCCTAAGACGTTCTATCGTTCGTACGCTGCAACTGAAGTCATTAGCAATGACTCGAGCATGTTGACCAGCGTGCAGACGTCCAATAGCTTGTTGTGGTTGATCTCTCGTTAACCTAGTCATAGCTGCTGTGTTCAGAAAACAAGTGAACGATTGCCATTCAAGCCGGCAATTTATGCCTGAATGCATTTATGATGCACGTGCATCTCGATTTCAATGTTGTGTTTCTGGGAACTTTTTCCTCTCCAAAAAACAAAAACATTTCTAACTTCAATCTCAAACAATACTTTATTGCAGGCAATGCAGGCTATACGACCACGATTCATGTTTCCTCAAACTTGACTTCTGGTGTATATTTAAAAAATATATTTCAAATATTCCATTGATACTCAAATGTCATTTCTAATATTACGACGTTTCTTTTGCCTTTCAGTATATATATAAAATAACTGCGTGTCATCTGGGAGGATACTAAGTAGTGCATGTCTTTGATGATCACCACATTGATAACCATTGCCAGCTATGGTTAGGGTGCTAACAAACCAAGAAACATGACCAGGACCAATTTAGGATTCGAACCCACAATCATAGGTTCCACGTCACACTGTATTGCTACTTCCGGTCCGCTGGACTAAACTCTAATGTGTGTCAGAACTTCAAAACGGCCCTAGTTGATCGAACGTTGTGATCTGACAGAGCTTATTGCAGAGTTCTGCTTTGGTTTCAAGTGTAGCCCTGCTTCCATCTGTAGTCCCTCGAGTCCAAACTGTGACCACGGGTGGTGTAAGTATTTACATGCGCATTAAGTACTACAGCAGCGCAAGGTTTGTTTCCTCGCCGAACCTCTAAAGGAGTATAATATTTTTGCGTTGTTTCAAAAACTCGTATCTGATATTAAGTTTGAATTGACTCTTCATCTCCATTGTTATTTGAAATACGTTTATTTATCCCTTGCAACTAATTGACACTCAACCTGATGTGTACGCAGTATTTCAATGTCATCCTATATTTCAAGCGTCTTCAATCATGGCCACTGTCGATACTTTCAACTCTCTGGTAAACAATAGTTTGGTTTTCACCTTCTTCACTTTCCACTTTGCTTCTGTCTTCTCCCTCAGCTCCAGTTTCAGGATGTGAATCTGTATTGGGACTCACAACATCAGTTTCAATTTCAACTGGAGTAACAGGCAGAAACGTTTCTTGGAGGACCAAAACCAGATGGATTTGCAAACGTTCCCAGTGGGTTCGGTTGTAAATCCGGAACCGGAAACCCCATATTTCTCCATATGTTAGTCACTAGGTTTGGATCATTCTGTACCTTACTCTTGCGCTTTTTTTTCGTCATGATTTGTAGTGGTGTTCTTCCATTGTGATCCCGCATATATTCATCAGCTCCACGATCTACAAGAAGCTTATAAACTTCAGGCGTTCCGTTCTCAGCGACAAAATGAAGAAGCGATCTCCCATCTGGATCTGTGGCAGAAACAACAGCTTCTGCTTCTAAAAGTATTTTAACTGAGGATTCTGCACTTTGCTCAATAGATGCAACATAGAGAATACACTTTCTTTCATTGTCAGATGTGTTGGGATTCGCCCCAGCAACTAAAAGCATTTTCATGATGCAATTTCTTGATTCTATGCTTGATTTCTCCAGTGATTCTAATGGTTTTCCATAAGGAGTAAGGGGATACAACATTTTTCTTTGAAGCGCTTTCATACCGATGTTAACCCCCACGCAAAGGTGAAGTGGTGTCAGTCCTTTTGTATCTACTGCACAAGGATCCGCATGTGCTTTTAAGAGCTCCTGGACACAACCCTCGTAAAGGTTTTCACAAGCCAGATGGATAGATGTTCTGCCACTTTCATTGACAGCATTTGGAACTGATCTGTGCTTCAAAAGCAGCTTAACAATTTTATAATATCCACTTTGAGAAGCAATGTGAAGTGGTGTCGTGCCCGTTTGATCGGCTACACATGGGTCGCCGTCTCTTTGTAGAAGTAATTCAACAAGTTCAAGCTTCCCTCTCTCCACAGCCACATGAAGAACTGTTTTACCATTTGCACTGGTTATGTTTGGGTTGGCACCTCCATCTAAGAGTTGTTTAAAGTCACAGGAGATCTTGCCATGAACCAAGAGGTAAAGGACGGTCTCACCAAGATTATTCTGCTGATTGATGTGTCCAAAGCTGTTTCCAAATAACGTTGATAAGGTGTCAAAGTCTTTAACACCGTCTTTACATGCTGCATGTAAGGCATTGTTTCCATCTTGATCACACTTCAGCAAGTCCAACCCCTTGTCACGAATGATTTGTATCACCTCAATATCTTCCGACTGCACCCCAGGAAACAAAACTGTCCTCCCTGCATTGTCCTCTATATCTATAGGAGCATGTGGAAACCCAAACAGGTATAGCAGCTTCTCTGCGGCATCTATAGTAGATAAGGCGGCTTTATGGAGCACTGTTTCACCCTTTGCATCCCTTGAGTCAAGTTTGGCTCCTTTCTCACACAACAACTTCATCATGTGTATCTCTCCATGGAGCGCAGCCATCATCAACACGGTGACTCCCTCAGTTTCCACACTATTTACGTCAGCTCCGTGATCGCATAGTAGCCTGACAGTGGCTAAATCATCATTTTGTAATGCCAAATGTAGGCATGTCCTTCCACTGCGGCCTGAATAGTTTACGTCAATGCCAGCATAGACAAGGGCCTTCACTATCTCAAAATCAGTTTTATCTGAACATGTTAGTGGCGTATTATTGTCAGAATCAATCACATCAACTGATGCATCGGCCCGTAATAGTAACTTTACACATTCCACAGATCCTTTCTTCACTGCTACATGGAGTGGTGTTGACTGTTCAGCCGCCGTCTGTGCATTGACATCAGCGCCTGCTTGAATTAATACCCCCTAAGCTGCCAGCATTGTCAGCGCTACATGCTGAATGAATTGGCATTTCATCTTTGTATTGGGCATTCAGGAAGTACTCCAAAAGAACAGGAACGGCATCGTTTTCGTGTTCTCCCACATCTTCTTGCATCTCACTTGATTCTTCATCATTTTGTATATAATCTTGAGTGTTTCTATCCTCCTCTGTATCTCCTTGATCTTCGTGATCCACCCTCTCTGTTTGGTCATAGGGATTTTCTGAATCTCCGACGTCCTCAGGGTCGTTTGAATCTTCTTCAGAAGTTGGGATAACGGCCTGGCGAGATTCCAAATATGAGCAAAGTATGTACGTTTTCTGTTCACTGTGAAAATCCGACTTTGCTGCCAAATGAAGCACTCTATTGTCTTTGGTCTTACAAATGTCAACACCATGCTCCAAAAGAAGAGCTACATTATCGGCCACACCAAAGCACAAAGCTTGATACAGAGGCTTACTATTGATAAACTCCTCATTGACATCAAGATCCATCCTCAGTAGGTGTTTCAGGATATCGGATACAGGGTGGGTTGCTGCCATCCACAGCAGGAACTCGGGGTCAGGCATGCATGCAGTTTCAATCATTTCTCTGTGATATCCTCCATTGTTCGATTAGAATGACTGATATCTTTAGCATTCTCACCCATGTTTGAAAGCAAATCACAAAGACGGTCTAACCATCCATTCAGTATGGTCATTTCCCTCTTTTTTGAGTTTGCTTTCAAAGAGATGTTGCACAACTAGACTGTTATCCTTTAAAACAGCAGCACAAAACATATCCTTTAATTCCATGTCCTCAGTGACAGCTGAAAGAATATGTTTGGCAATCTCATCAGTGCCATCTGATGTCTTGGGCGATCCACATAAAGCGCGGAAACAGCTTTCATCTGGGGTCACGTCCATGTTCAATAACATGTTGGCTGAAGTGAAATCGTTCGCATATACAGCGCATGCCAACAACTCTGTGAGCATTACTGTCGGAGAACCGTCTGTGAGAACAGCAGTCAGCAATTCAGTAAGGTGTCTGATTTGCTTGAGTAACATACATGGTAGGATGAATTTGCATTTGAACAAACATCCATTCGACACTGGTTGGCCAATCTTTATCTCCAGTTGGTATGGCATTGTAAATGTCAAAATGTCCATCAGCTTTTCCTCATCTTTCCATTTTTCAAACATGACGTCTGTGAACTCTTCATCATGCAGAGCAGGATGATCGAGGACTACCAAAGAGTCTTCAGATAGGAGTAACTCTGTGATTCTGTCAGCAAGAACCCCATAATTGTCCCTAGGCACCATGACAACAACTTCATTTGACTTTGTACAATGTATCTGAGTCTTTACCATTTCTACAAACAACTTTGCAGGGCATATTCCAAGAAACATGTCTGGGCATATCCTTGACACAAATGCGAAAACAGCATCAAAGATTGACTGATGGTGAAACTGGAACTTGTCTTCAATCTTCTCTAAGTAAACACCACGAAGTGACTCTGCCTTCGTCAGTATAGCTGTGGAACTGGGCTGAGAAGGAAGGCTACATAACCCACTTCCAATGAGAGCTTCGATCTGCTGTGTCTTCTTCGACGACCTCACTGGGGTATTTGCCAAGTGACCACCATTCATCAAAACGAGAAGAAGTACCAGATATCCAAGTGGATCACTTTCTTGGAGTATTCCAATTTCCTCTGTTATGTATTCATATGGTTTGAAGAAAAACTGAATACCTTTAGCCTTTGCTTTTCTGCTGCTGGCGAAATATTTACAGCATTGGGGAAAACCAAGAGCCCCATGCACTTCAATCGCTCTTCTGATTTCCTCATCACTAAAAGTAAATTTCCCACAATACATTCTCATGAGTTTCTTCTTCTCTCCGTTTCTGAGAGCATATAGCCCCGAGTCTAGTGTGATACATTGAATGTTCTCTATCAGTTTGTACTTCTTCACTTGACTCTCACATTGAGCACTGATGTCTGGTCTGGATGTTAGTATGAGATATATGTGTCCAGATTCTACAGCAGGCCACATGATGTCAAACAATCTGCTCCACTCGTCCACCCGAGTCTGCACAAGGTTGCTGCTTCCAAAAATGTTTTCAATCATGACAACATATTTAGGACTGCCAGGAGTAGCATCGGTTTTCTTTCCTTCAGCTGTTGGGACCAGATTCCATTCTCTGTATGACGTAAGTATGAGAGGCTGTACGCCTTTCTCCTTGGAAATATCGTCCAGAAGCTTCAACCCTATCCTTGATTTTACCTGAACCAGATTTCCCTTGATGAAGATGCTCCCATATGATTTTAGAATCTTGAGGGCTGCTCTCTCAGCAAACGTAGATACAAACTGTGAAGGACCATCGTGGTTTATGAGAATCCGGGTGGTTTCTAAAAGCGAAATACAGAAATATATTCTTCATTTTAGTGTCCAGTATGATTCTGACAGCTAAACACGGATGCAACTAATACGTTAATCTAAAGAACCAGTGACATCCTATAGCAGTATTTACACTGTTCAAAATAATCAGCGTATTATAATAGACTAGCAAATTCCTTGGGACCATTTGACATATGGTATGCAAAATATAGTGATCGCTTTAGACGAGAAAGGTTAATGACGTATTCTTGAACTTTCCATCTGCCAAAAACTCTTATTCTTGTCAAAATTGAAAAAGGGTGTAAACACTTACGGGCTATGTTATGAAGCCGAGAACCAGGGTTATCTAAAACAGAAACAGAGTCAAGTTTCAAGTGACACTGGACTCATCAAACACATGGTAACCTAAAGAGACTTTGTAATATAAACGAGCACGTTGTTAGCCATAAAATGCGATACTGTTTGAACAAGCCTCCAAACCCAACGAGGCTATACGATCAAAACACACCACTTTGGCAGGTTAGAAACCCTTTCTCTATACTTGCATATGAGACATAGGCACTGTTACGACGTAAATTGTAATACGACGTAAATTGTAATAAAAACGCAAATTGTAATACTTGCAGCAAATTGTAATAAACTTGCAGCAAATTGTAATAAACTTGACGTAAATTGTAATAAAAATTGACGTAAATTGTAATAAACTTGACGTAAATTGTAATAAAAATTGACGTAAATTGTAATAATTTTCGTTGCGGTAAAATGTAATAAATATTTACGTAAATTGTAATAACAGTTTTAATCACTCGTAAATACGCGGGTTTTTGTTTTTCGTTGCATTTCATACATCAAATAAGCTTGTTAGGGCGATAACTCAAGAAAGAAATGATGGATTTTGTTCAAATTTGGGACCAAGGTATATATTTGGTACCAAGCTTGGTAGCCGCGAACTCAGGAAATTATTAATAGATTTTGATCCAATTTTGAGATAATTTTCAAGGTCACAGCAAAAATCTGAGGGTTTTGCCAATATAAAGATTGTTAGCGCGATAACCCAAGAATGAATTGACAAATCTTAGTTAAATGACGAAAATGATATTCGTCCTCATATATAATCGATATAAACTGTCCTCTGTATCATGTCTTTTCGCAAATATCTTTTGAGGTTTTGATATGTATACATATAAAGTGGGGCTGGGGTAGGGGTGGGTTTCTAACGGGTATATCTAACACACTTGCATGCATGTAGAGTCGGAGAGGTGGGTGGGTGTTCTAACGGGTATAACTACGAGGGACGTTCAAATAGTAGTCAGCCTCACCTAGAATATGATACAAAGGCAGCGGTTTTTATGTTTTATTTTTCTAAATATTATCTGTCAGCCTCAAGCAAATTGGTTTTGCTATGTTGCAGCCTCACGATCCCCATTTTGTGAGACTTTGTATTTTGGCTTGGTACTCCCAAAAACGTAAAATCTGCAATAAAATGCATCACAAACTTCAGGAAGCAAAATATGCTATGTTTGAGATTGGTAGAAGTCGGCTAGAATCAAACTTAGATATTAAACTGCACAAAAAAGCAATTTCAAAACTACAATCGCTTGTTCAAATGACTCCCCCTTCGGTTTACTGAAAGAACTCGAGAAAGAAATGATGGATTTTGTTCAAATTTGGTACCAAGGTTTATTGACTGGAGATTGGAGATTTACCGACACCACTTGAATTTAGTGACCTTGAGGTCATTTTAAAGATCACAGCGAAGGCGTAACAGTTTTGCACATGCCAAGCTTGGTAGCCGCGAACTTAGGAAAGAATTAATAGATTTTGATCCAATTTTATATCAAGGTGTATTGGCGGGAATCCCCCTACACCAATTGATTGGGAAACTTGTGCTCATTTTAAGTTCACAGTGAAAAGTGTTTTGCACATGTCTAACTTTTTAGTGCGAAAATACAAGACAGAATTAATATGTTTTGCTTAAAGGTAATACCAACATGCGTTGGGAGTATCGTCTAACGCCAGTCGAATTCAGTGACCTTCGGATTATTTTCAAGGTCACAGCGAGTATTCTTGCGATATCTCCAAACCTAATGGATGGAATTTGTTCGCATTTTGTATCAAGGCATCAGATGACAGTTTCGGCAAGGTTTACATAATTTTTAGGGTCAGACAGACGATAATTGCGACATTCAGATATCGACATGTGGCGGGGGTAATAGCTATGTTTGTGACAAACCCTTTGTCATTACTAATTTTCAAATTTTTGTAAGCATATGGTTTCTATAATTTCATGTTAATTCTACCAGCTGTGAAATTATTCGTGACACGTCTTAAAAAAGCCAGAGATTATTTGTGTATGTTTCGAAAATTAAAGTTTATTGTATTTCATTATGGAGTTATTTTCGATGTTGACGCAAGGACATATTTTACGAGCAATAGCTTTCAAAAATTTAATGTTATTTCTATTACATTTTGAAGTTCTTCATAGCATATCCCAAAATAACAGGATATTGTTTGTTTACGCTTTGAAATGTATGTTTCTTTTTCTTCATTTTCGAATTATTTTCAATGTTGACGCAATGCCATATTTGAAGTTAATTTAATGTTTTAATCATATGTGATTTATTATGATTTATGTTTCGATCATACATTCATATATTGCGTTGTCATAGTTTAACCTGGTTCGTATTATTTTCTTCATCATATTACTACATATTATTGTATTTTTATGAGAGGGAATTTTAAGTTACATTTACTAAGGATATCATAAATCGCTGACGCCTGGTTATTCCTTGCCACATAGCAGTCAATCTGTCTAGACTCATTTGTTGTATTTGATTGATGCATATAAAATAAAATGTAGAAATGATATTGAATTGCATCATTTGCTGCAAGGAATCGATCAGATGTGCTCGTTATCAAAGTAAAGTCAAAACTTCTTTCTGTAAGGTATACAGTGGAAGTTGACACCTTAATTGTTATGGGTAGACTAAAGAAATCATTTATTTAGTTTCACCGCTCGAAATACAACAAAGAATTCCACGGGTGGTATTAACCTCAAAGAATGATCATAGCAATGATTATAACCTACGAGGGCAAACATATCGGGGATAATTTGTTTTGATGCGATATGCACCGGGTAAAATATCACTTTGTCATGGTGACATGACATCATGAATAACAATGTTATGACGTCACGTTGCTTCTAAGAAGCCGCCTTCTAAATACAACGATGACGGGGAGCCTGCCTTTGTTGGAAAGTAGATTATCGCGTAATTTCCGCAATTAAAGATTTCGGTAATAAATAGAAAATTATATTCGTGACCATAATATGCTAGAGTTCACGACCTAAATATCGGCATATCCCTTCTCTGGTTCCGAAAATACCAAGATTTAGGCAGTTGTGTTGTAAACTGATATTATACACGGTTGACCACAAGTGCCTGTTACACACAATGGAACATGAAGTTGGTGTCAAAGGACTCAGCACTCAGCTGGTTCTCCTCATATTTGGACCAGCGAACACAGGTTGTAAAAGTTCAGAATCATACATCTGACAAAGTAGAGTTAACATGTGGCGTGCCCCAGGGCTCGGTCCTTGGTCCTATTCTCTTCTTGCTATATGTAAACTCTCTTCCCGCGGTTATCGACTCTCATGACTGTGGGCACTATGCCTATGCTGATGACAATCAGGTTACCAGGATTCTTAATCTGCAATCTCCAGTCACTGATCTACAGATCATAGACAGTTGCGTTTCCGATATAAAGACCTGGATGAACACAAGGAAACTCCAACTGAATGATGACAAAACGGAGTTGCTCGTCCTTGGAAATTCCAAACAGCTGCAGAAAACCTCCATCTGCAATGTGAAGATTTCAACATCTCACATTCAACCTTCCCCTGTCACTAAGGATCTTGGAGTATATCTTGATGCAAGTTCGTTTTGGAACCGCAAGTCAACCATGTTTATAAGAACTGTCACTATTATCTGCGAACCATCAGCTCCATTAGAAATCTCATCACAACAAAATGTGGTCATTCTTTGGTTCGATCCATTATACTCTCTCGACTCGACTATTGCAACAGTCTGCACTTTGGCATCAGTTCAACTCAACTTCAGAAACTACAAAAATTACAGAACTCAGCAGCTTGCATCGTCTGCCCCAAGTCCAAGAAATAACATATCACACCTTCACTGATGTCTCTACACTGGTTGCCTGTCAAATTCCGGATTAACTTCAAGATTCTATGTATCACTTTCAAAGCTCTACATGGACAAACACCTGAATACCTCTCCAGTCTTCTGTGTCAGTACATTTCCAACCCGACCATTACGATCCCAGAATCACCAGCTACTTGTCATTCCTAAAGTTCGACCCTCATCCTATGGGAAAAGATCATTCCAACACGCAGCCGCCAGTCTCTGGAACAACTTGCCCCCTCACATCAAGACTGCTGAATCTTTGGACACATTTAAATCGTCTCTAAAATCCACTTTTTTTCGTCCTGCCTATTACTAGACTTTCTATGTTCAATTGTCTCTCTGTAAATAGTTTTACCTATTTTCTTTTCTCCTATAGTATTGTTGCGCCATGAGCGGGTATTAGTACCTGGATGTAGTGCTATATAAATACCCACATTATTATTATTATTATATATTTATCTTCTATAAAGTCGGCTATATTCAAACCATGTGAAATGTCGTCAAATAATGTGTGATGACAGTTACCAGCGTCCCAATAGTGTCCATATACATGTATTTCTCTGTCAAACCGTTGCAACGTTCTATAATGCACTTATGAAATATAATATATGTTTTCCGACCGTGAAGTCATTAACAAGAATTATGCATTTTCTGCAGTCACTTGTGAATTGAACTAAATGAAGGTTCATCTGATTAATGAGTATCGAGGAAATTATGTTCATCTATAAATTAGACGCAGCTTCATGTTTTCAAGACATCTTTCCGGAATATGCGCCTGTGAAGACGTTCAGATAATGACGATATTGCACAGTATTATTCATGAGATTCCTGTCTAAAGTAAGGTCTGATAATAGATCGACTTTTATTCAACAGTGTTGGCCCTGGGGCCTATAGTACGATTACAGTTTGATCTACTTGCACGTGGTGCTAGTAACATATTAAGTTTCTATTGGTATTAAATGCATATTTCAGATAAAAGCTATGGTATTAATTTCACAACATCTATATTGTTTGATGTTAAAAGATTTGGCAATGTGTGTTCATACATTACAGTTTTTGACAGACTTGGCAAAATAAATAATAAAATGACATTGATAGCATCTTCACGACTTGGCCATACAGTCATGACAATTTAAGGAGTGAA